TCAGCGCTGTACGGACTAGGCAAGACGAATCTCTAACACTAACACGACTGCGTGACATGGGAGTAAAGCATAGTGAAGCACGTATATGCTGTCTTCGCGGCTGAGATAGAAAACATTATAACCAACCTCTCATGGGAACAATTAGTAAAAGTATCTTGGAGGGGCTGCTGCATCGGAGGACTGAGCACGCATGGGAATGCCCAAATGCAGTGACCTCAATTGGGATAACATAACACACACACACACACACCCACACACATTGTTACCGAAAAATCGTAACCGTTTGACAATGATGTTATCATTTGTGATGTTTTTTCACCCTTCGTATTTTGTAGCACAACTTCAGTGCCTGAATATAGATAAGCCTTTTGTCACACAGCTATGAGTTATCGATGAACATTCTAGAAATTGAATCAGCTGCACACACAGCAAAACTGAGAATACGAGAGTAGCGACACCTGTATCTATGACAACAGGATGCAAAATATATTACAAATTGTGACCAATAGACAGCGATCCCAAAGTGTCGTATATCCGTGTGTGGGTTCCGGAGCCCTATTTGACAGGAGGTAGAAGGAGGTGGGGGGGGGTGGGGGGGGGGGGGGGGGGGGGGGGGGGGTAGGGGTGGAGAGAATAAACACACTGCTCCTTAACAAGTGTGTTGCACAAGGCGACTTATTAAGGATTTGATGATATCGGATGTGTTTGGTTTAAAGATAATTATCTTACCCGTGCTGTACATCATTATATAAAATGCTAACCGCCCTTTTAAAGAAAGTAGAGGAAAAAGAATGTGACATAAAGACAGCACAATTTTCTTCTTCTTCTTCTTCTTTTTCTTTTTCTATTTCTTCATTTGTTATGTTCGCAATTAAAATGGCGTTTTACCACTATATGGCCTACAGCTGCGCTTTTTGGTCCAAATTCAATAAGTCATTAATAAGTCGCCTTTTACGATTCCCTTATTAAGGAGCATTGTGTCTATACGTCCCTCTTCGTGTATCCCCGGAGCAGACAGGATGTGATGATCATGAAACTGAGGTTTGAGGTTTTTGAACTACGGATCAATACTATGGCACACGGGTAGTAACCCTAAAGGTCTCCGTTCTTCTTCTAACTCAGGTCTGAATCCGAAGAAGCTCAGCACAGTGCACAGGTGAGGATACTAAAATACTTTAGGTAGATTTTAAACTACAAATTTTGCCTGGGCAGCTCTAGGCTACTCTATTCGATTTCAAACTGTCAAGGGGTTTTTTATGTGTTCAATAATACACACGGGCGTTCGATCTCACTACCCAGAAACCAGGGGAAATTACTAGAATTCCAAGTCCGCGTGAAAAAAATTCCAGCCTTTACCGGAGATTGAATCCGAAACCTCTAGCACTCGAGGTGGATACCATGCCTCTAGACCACATAGCCCCCTTCATGAAGCTGACAGTTATGCAAATAATAATTGTAGTTATGAGGAGATGATGATGCTGCTTATCTTGATGATGATGACGACAATAATGTTGCTGATGATGATGATGATGACGAAAAAGAATAAATATCGGGCACACAATCTTCAACTTTAGGTAAAGATTAACGACCCCATACCTGTGATCTGACAAACAGGTACAGCTGGGTGTGTTCAAAAAGGAACTTCCTGCACCGGAATTCCTCCCGAAAGGATACGCCCATGGCGTCAGTTCTTGCGGTGTGTGTTGGGTGACTACGGTTGGCTCATTGCCTGTTGAAACACATAGAGAGAGCGTTTACCGCTATTTATGGATGCAAGAACGCCGAAACAAAGAAAACTTAATGGGGAAAAATGACGGGCTTGAAGAGGGTTCCTCAAAGGGTTTCTTGGGAGGCGGAGGGGGGGGGGGGAAAGGGTGTGGGGGGGGGGGGTTATTGTGTGCTTAATAATAATGATAATTCGCTAAGTGTCAAATAAATATAATAACATGTGTGGTTATAAAATGACGTATAAACAAAAACGTGAAAGCTCTTCTATGTAGGATTTTGGAGGTGGAAGTGGGGGGGGGGGGGGGGGGGGTTCGAAAAAGACTCTTTAAAATTTAGGGGAGGGGCTGAGTCTGTCTGTCTGTCTGTCTGTCTGTCTGTCTGTCTGTCTGTCTGTCTGTCTGTCTGTCTGTCTGTCTGTCTGTCTGTCTGTCTGTCTGTCTGTCTGTCTGTCTGTCTGTCTGTCTGTCTGTCTGTCTGTCTGTCTGTCTGTCTGTCTGTCTGTCTGTCTGTCTGTCTGTCTGTCTGGTCTGTCTGGTCTGTCTGTCTGTCTGTATATAACTTTAAGCATGATAGTTGTTTGCTTTGAATGGATGTCTTTCTTTTCCAAATATCTCAGAAAAGGCAAAAAGAAAGACTGAAAACAAATTCTTACAAGGATATAATCATTATCAGGTTAATGTTAATAACTGACACCAAACGGTTACTAGGTGACAGATATTTGAAGTTAGGCACCGACTTTTGGGACGGATCAAAAATATGTGACGGCCAAAAATCTCACATCAAAAGGCCTTTCCCGCCATCCAACTACTGTGACCTTTTCATAAAGTGTGTTGACAGTGCTGACACTAAACATGCTTTTACCATTCACAAAGTACGGCATGGCTACCGGTGGTTTAATAAAAAAAAAAAAAAAATGCCCCTAAACATTTCCCCATTTATTTCTGAATGAGAAATTTCCCATGGTGTTCAACTAAAGAAGACGAAGCCTTATTACAGACTGTTGGGAACAGCCCGATAGACCCATCAAAGTTGCGGTGGAGAATGGAGAGTATGAAGCAGCACCGAAATTATTACCTTTTAAATCACCACTATTTATTGCTTCATGAGATAGAATACAAAGTTGGAGCATATACAGAGAATGACAAACAATTGAGTCACACCAAACAGTGGAAACAAAAGAGCTGAATTGCAACAGACTATTTGAATAAAGAAACAATATATCCACCAAGTAATTGACCCAATGCTATCAAGATTGTCTAATTATTCATAGTCAATGTCAATTACTCATAGTACAATAAAGATCAAAATCACATCCCAAATCAAAGCAAAATCTGAAATTAAACAAATTGCATTGTGGTCATATAAGTAATTACATAACATCTAAATTCAATATAACAAATATATACTTAGAGAATTAAATTAACACTCTATATGCCAATTATAACCCTGAAGGTTGAGCAGGATAATCTTGAAAAATTCCTACTACGACTGCCAGGGAATAGACACAGAAGACGGTGCAGAAATAATATAAAGTCACACTTACAAACATTTAGAGTCACAGACTGGAAAACTAAGGCAAAAAATAGAAATCAAGGGAGATGGCTAATATCTACAGCAATGAATCTCAAGGGCTGGGAATGCTGGGGGGAAAAAAAGAAGTAGAAGAAGAAGGTAGTTCTCCAGGATGCGATGTCGAAAAATCGTCTCTTCAGACTTGTTCCTTGTCTCGCCTTACTACTGCCTTATACTATCACACGTTCTTGTATGTCTATCACATTTCGTGACATGTTTAGAAACTTCAAGAGATTCCAAAAATACACCAACGCTGTATATGGAATACATTTAGAAAACTTGGTGGCAGTTTTAGTGGATCGTATTTTCTCTGGAACCCACAGAGAAACTCCCTTGTTTTACTTGTATCAGTGCCCCTGGTAATAACACTTCAAAATAACATAAATGAATAATAACCGCCAAGAACTAATTGTCATACATCAAAACAGTATCTAAGAACCCTCTCTCTCTCACTATCGTGGACAACGACATGTTACACAAATATACCTCACCGTGTGGAATGCTAATGAACCATCCCCATCTACCCTATACAGTGCCAGATATAGACTTGATGAAGCCCTAAGTAAATAAAGCCCCGAGGCCCATACCATTTTAAATTACACCAGTTGATATCAGACAACCTTAAACGCATTTTTAAAACATGGAAATTTGAAATATATGTACATATTGTCTTTTAATTGTTATTAAAATAAACAATAAAGAAAAATTACATAAATTATACAATATTCTAAATGATAAGCTTAAAATATTTGTATTATTCTAAAACATATTAAATGAAAATTGCAATTACAATATATTAAAATAAGATTGCAATTGTTAAAAAATAAACTTTTTAGGCCCCAGCAGACTGTGAAGCACCAAGCTGTAGTTTATTTAGCTTAACTCCAGCATTAACACATTACAATATTTGCAGCGAGAGACTGAGCATCCACGGGTGTGCCTGGTTGGCCATGATATTGACTCTTAAATCTGTCAGGACTAACAAGGAAGGTGAGCAGAGTGGCATGCTTCGCTTCAGATGTCACTGGTGAGGATTTTCCAAGATATGCCGGTGCGTTGGGAAATAAAACGACAGACAGACTGGCTGGTTCTGCAAAACCTGGTGGAATACTGATGCAGGATAAGGCAGACGTGGTCAGGGCTCTGTGGGAGAACGTCGGCAGTTCGGAAAAGCAGATGTATCACCACAGTCTGGTGAGAGTAAGGCAGCGAGGAGTGACAAAGGGATCTGGTCGATACCCCACATTCAGAGGAAAGGCAAGACGGACGTACAATCAGAATGATTTTGGCAAAAATTATTATTAGAACTATGCACTGGCAGCTAAAGATATGGACGAAGCGCTTATGGAAATGCCCCGAGTGCTAAAATGTCGGCCCTTGAATCAACTTAGCTCAGTGCTAAACACAAATTTTTTCAACACTTTCTAAGTTTTATCTACTTTAAGTGACCATCCTTCGGGTCTCAATGAAATAAGCTATTACATTCAGTGTACTTCAACATTTTTGACTCAGAATTTAGTTCCCAAAGGTCAATATCCTTCGAGTCTCAGTGAACAGAAATACTGGAAATTTTACCCAGGGTGAGTTAAGGTAAGTACTACGGTAGAAAGTACGAACGCGCCAGACGGATCTGAGACAAGAAATAAACTATTATGTAACATGTTCACAGTAATCAATAAACGTATGGGGGCTGCTTTGTGTTGAAGTAGTTAAATTCCCCGTGTGGGAATTCCCCGTATGAGGAAAACAAGAACAGAATCATTGCCTCCTTAGCAAGCATGTCGTAGGAGTCGACTAATTTGAGACTTCTTCCAAGTCGGAGTGCATGTCCCCGAGCGGCAAGGAACAATCATCTGCAAAAAAAAAATAAGCCAGTAAAGTGGATGTACTCTTAAAACTCCGGCCCTGGCAAGAAAGCCTAAACCCAAATTGACGACAACAAGGACTTTCCTCCAGAGCTTACAGCCGGTGAACAAAGAAGAACAAGGAGGAGAAAGAAAGAGTTCAATCGGTAACCATAAATATCTGTTATAAATCTTTCATTAGAGCGAAAAATAACCGCTAACAGGCGTGTTTGTGTATGTGTGCGTGTGTGTGTGTTCGTATGTGCGTGTGCGTATGTGCGTATAGAAACACAAAAGAACACTACGTATGAAACACTTCGAAAATATTAACTAAAATTTCACTTCGATAGTATAAAACCACCAACATTTCACTAACAAACTGATACTAATAGCAATATTTGAGCAGTCGTTAAAATAACCTCACAACACAGTCTGGGCACTTCATTTACAAGAACAATCATTCCAATAGACTAAAAATGGCATTACCGATTTTTAGATATCCGAGCGCAAGCACTTAAACAAGACCACTACCAAGCACAGCCACAATGATAGATTACAGTACACTTTTACAGAAATTGAATAGGGAAAATCCGACCAAAGTACGTGAATTCACCACATCCATAAATTTGAATTGCTGCTCTCTATAAATGAAATTTATGATCCGTTATTCAGCACTGCATGTTTGTATTTCTGGCGAAACGTTGACATGTAGGCAACATTCTTCGTAAAAAGCAATTGGTATTTGCCTTCAGGGACGAATCAGGTGCAGATTTATAGAATATTATCTGTCTATGTTGCCGCGACAGCATGTGATGATTGTGTCCTACTTTGTAAACTGTACGTAAATGGGCAATTTTATCAAATGCATCCAATATTTATTGTTGGCATACAGGCAATTTTCGAGAACATCTTGGCGAAACTTGTCACTTCGTAAAATCTGCTTGCAACGAACGAATGAACGAACATTGTTTTCAAAAGGTTACAAACTTGGCAAAAAGGCCAGTATGACTTTTGGCCCTTTTAAGTACTCATTTTTTAAACAACAATTGCGTGTTGCCAATAATACATGTTGTGTCTATAGAAAAATATACATAATGAAATAGTCCATGTACACATCATACATGCACAATCATCTACACTAAAAACCACACTTACTCTTACATGCTGATACATACATACATACATACATACATACATACATACATACATACATACATACATACATACATACATACATACATACATACATACATACATACATACATACACACACACACACACACACACACACACACACACACACACACACACACACACACACACACACACACACACACACACATACATACATACATACATACATACATACATACATACATACATACATACATACATACATACATACATACATACATACATACATACATACATACATACACATACATACATACATACATACATACATACATACATACATACATACAGACATACATACATACATACATACATACATACATACATACATACATACATACA